CTCTCACTCAAAGCCAGCAGAATAGTCCATCCAATCAATAAAGAAGTCACTCAGGTTCCACCCACGAACGACTAGCCGCCCCTTTTTGTTGCTGGCTCGACGCGTGGGAGCAAACTTGCCAGTTTTTTTCTTGGATCCTTTGATCCAGATGCTCGACGGGGGTGAGGTTCTGAGTGCAAAACATCTGCAAAAGCTCAGCATGGAACCAAACTCGATGTCACACACCTAAAGCTCCAAAAACATGATGCCCTGAAGATGACGACCTGCACCTGAGGGCTACAGTCAATGCACATGATGAAGGTTGATTCATTCCGTGTCAGCTACCCCACCCCCAGCCTAAGCATCCTGGAACTGTTGCGTCGCCAGCCTAAGCAGTGCCTATAGTAGGGAAAAGCAGCAGCCAAGTTACGGCTCGGGTCGGCACGTGTGGTCGGCCGCTGCAGCAGCACGATTCTTTGATCGTTCGACGGTGGCCTCAGAGTTTGCAGGTTCTCCGGTAGGGGATGTGGAGGTTGCAAACGAAGAATGCTGAGGTATTCCAATTGTTTGTTCTATATAACATGTTTGCTCAACCCGATTTGAACCTTTTCATGAACGGATCAAGTGACTATATATGGTTATTATCTTCACAAATCACACTCCAAAAAACAGCAACCACCTGGTCACTAGGACCATAGCACAGCATTTCTGGAATCTGTCAACTGCTGTCATTGGATGCTGATGGCCTGAAACATCCTCCAAGTCGCTCTCACAGTCAGCTCATCCTGAACTACTTCCGCTGCTTCCAGCGCCCGTGGCACTTCTTCCACCCCCAGGTGCTCCGCGCGGCATCCCTTCGCGCGGCAGCGGCCAAATCAAGGGCTGCAACTGAGGATGGGGCGCCAGGCGCGTGACAGGCTCAACACCTTGTCGCCAAGGAAAAGGGAAGGGCAAGGGGTAAACAACTCGGGACCCTAAAATGCACACTGGATGGCCATGTTCTACAAACAAACAGATGGTGTTCCACTTCCATGATAACTTCAGAAAGTGCAATCTGCCAAGGACAATTTCAAACTTTATGACGGTTATATTAAGTCGTTTGATTTGTTGTGGCCTTTGATCCCCACCAAAAAACTGCTTCTTCTAAAAATACATTTATCTACTAATCTATATACTACCGTCTACCGCTTCGACCTTTGACTCCCCAGTGATTTCATGCTTTCCGGCCCTAAAAAAAAGACACACAAACACAAAGACACCCACTTCTTCTTGCCGCCCAGCGCCGCCGTCCCACCGACCCACTGTCTGTTTTGCCTTCCGCTCCGTGCCTTCCGCTCCCCGGGGACGCCGTGCACCGAGGCACAGAGGGCCGAGACCAAGGCGGAGAACTCACTCGGTCCACTACGACGCGACTCTTCGCGGGATCGGTCCTGAGGTCGGTCACTCGGTGGGGGAGGTCACAAGGGAAGCCCCTGTTCGTCTAAAAGAGGGGGTGTGGCAATGTGGACTTTTTAAGGGGCAGTGGGTAAAGTTAAACTCTTGCCTCATGTAGACTCTTGATTCATGAAAACCCCTTGATTTGGATGCGCTCACTTGCGGTCCGTGGACGCTTCTACTTCACCCCTTGCCGCGTATTGCGGCGGGTGTGAGTAGAGTTGGTGAAGCACGAGCGGCTAATGTACAGAACAGAGGCTACGAACCAGGTGGACGGCAGGCTGCGGTACAAAGAAACGGATCAAGAACGAAAGGGCATAGCTCACTGCATGTTCACCAAGACACATTCTCAGGCAGTAACTTAATTATGGACCTAATTATTCGGATGGAGGATATTATCGAATGATGTTTTTCAAAATAGTGCGTTGCGCACGTTTTGCAGGAACTTTTCCTGCTTATCAGGATTAACCTCTTCCCAAGTCGGCCATTCTCTGCAGGGATATTATCAGGGAGGGCCGGCATCGGGATTTCAGTATGAAATGGCGGGTTATGTGGCATATTCAACAGCATTTGTTCGAGAAATTTATATGCAGCGTCCACATTGGGGAGTGTGGGTCTGCGAGACAGACCCCCTTGGTGGTACGCCGTAAATCCAAGTCTCGTCAAACTGGATGTGCCTTGTTTCTTGTATGTGGGTATCAATTTGGTTTTAGAGAATGTCTGAATGTGTTTAACAATCCATCGAAAGTTATCGGCCAGGACACAGACGGATCGTGCTTTAACGGGTAGAAGCTGTACCCGAGTATCGGTATATGGGACAGTCTCTTGTTTATCGTGAGTGCGAATGCGTACTGGCAAAACCCGGTGGGACCATAACATATAAAGGAACACGCCAGTTCAGTCCAGGAGATGCCGTGATCTCGGGTATCATGCGCTTGCGAAGGATCAGGCCATTTAAGGATGGAGCAGTATTCCCACACCATCCGTGCGAGATTGACTCCCCACGGGCAGCACCAGAACACAACACGATGTGGTTCAGGTGGGGGCAAGAAAAAAGGTTCCTTCGCAACCCATGAGCGGAAAGCGTGGAGTGTGCGAGAGAAAGTAGTGGCTGCAGTGCGTGGGGCGGATCTGTCCGGCACCCCGCTTTCAGGATCGGGTTTGGATTCCAGTTTTTCCATTCGTTGACAAGCGAAGTCAAGTAAACAATGGAAGACTTTGGTCAGGATGGCTTGTTGTTGAGTTCGATGTGTGCGAATTTGCTGGCATAGGGTGGAGAAATCGGGATCGTCGGTCTGTCTAGAGTGGCTTCATCGGCTTCATCGGCACAGGCATTGCCTTGTGCCACAAATCGGCCCGGTTTGTGGCGTCCGCCGGGTTTTGGTGAGATTTGATGTTGTGGGCATGAAATCGGGAGGGGTCAGGGGTCCCACACCTCTATAGTAGGCGCGAGACCAGATCCCAGTGGGCGGTTTTGTCTGGGTGTCGGGAGGCAGTGCCATCTTGAATGCGTTCAATGACATTGATATACATTGATGACATATTGAGAATCAGTGACAAATAGAATGTGATGCGTAAGGGTGACCGCCAACGTGGATTCCACTGCGACGATCATGGCGAAGAGCTCAGAACGGTTGATAGTCTGCAGATGTCTGCAGGCCGGGGCAGTGGCCAGTTGCTACGACTTTATAACACCGCGGGTTACAGCCCAAGCAGCACGTGCAGTGAAGGGATCCCGTGTATCATCACATGAGCCGTCAGTATACAAGGTCATATCGACACTAACAGGCATCAAGGACAGTGTGGACATGGTGGTGTTACGTAAAAACATGGCTTGGCGGGCAAGGTCCACATGCTCGTGGTCTACTGGCAAGGGAAACCCATGGAAACCCCTTGATTTGGATTGCAACACCTCTTCATGTGGGGGGATAAAACATATCAACAGTCTGTTAAAACACTCCCAAGTTTCGAAGAGCTCCATCCGCGCGCTTCCTGCGCCTCGCGCGCGTCCTGCGCCTGCGCCGGAAGCGGTCGCATGTGTGGAGGTCGAGCCCATCAGCTCCCGATCTCTCCAAGGCGTACGGCGTGGGAGCTCGTGGCGCGCGCGGTCCGGCCGTGGCGCGGGCGGTGTTTAAAGAGTTTGGAGAGCCCAACTGGAGCCCAATGGCGAAGATGGAAGTGAAGGGAGACAAAAGTCGATCTAGAAGGCTTTGGTGGTCATGATGCCGTGCCAGCGCGGTAGTAATTAAGGGTGCAAGTATACGTGGGGAAAGGATCCAGGTGTCTTGGCGATCTACCATTTGGGACCAATTGTGTGGTTGCATGAGTTGCCCCCTGACAGTAAGAGCTGAATCCACGGGTGTCAAACGTTGATGGCGAAAACAGAAACATCGGTGGTCAGCTAAGGGAAAATAACTAGTGTTACGACGACAGCGATGCTGCTTGTGCATCAATGCATGTGCATGGCACAGGCCCAACAAAAATTATTCATGTGGACTACAATTGGACTATAGTATATGATACGTCCAGTGCCCAGTCCCCTCTTAAAGTTATGCGTTGATCCCTACTGACTACCTCCCACTGGCAGCATGGCAGTAATTAATATAGAAACGATATCCAAAAATTTGAGATTTTTGAGAGGAGATGTGCTTTTCTATCTCCACATGCTGGTGGCATAAATAACACCCCCCCATTCCGATCTCCCAGCGACAATGCCCTCCGACACCCGCCTGCAGCCGGGCGATGACCTTTGAGGTGAACTCGCCAACCCAGCCTGACGAGCTGTGGCCACCGTGGGTTGTGGGTTGGGTGGATGGCTCTCCAGTAGCAGTTGAGGTTACTTTCATGCAACCAAAGGACCCTGATCAGGCAAAAGTAGCCATAGAGCTTAAATCTTGCAAGTCTTAAAGGCAGGACATCTGGACATGGGTTTGCAAACGCTTCCTGAAAGGGTACCCTGAAAACACTCCAATCCCACATGTTCCTCCAACTTTGACCTTGTCGCAGCACAAACAGTATCAATGATCCCTATGCCCAGTACTTAACAACACATAACAACACATGTGCTTTCAGCATGGACCATGGACGATCAAAACATCAAATTGACAGGATATTCTGCATACACCAGCGATCTCCTCCAAATATTCAAATCAACTAGTGGTAGCATCCCATCTCGGAAAATCATCGGAGATTAGACTAAGAGAGCTGCACGCTCTGTGGGCCCCATCTTCCCGTGTAAACACAAAGCGCTCTGTAAACTCTAAACCTAAACCTCAACAGTTTGCATGTTCTCGTTGCACGAGAGCTCCATCGCCAAGATATGCCAGAAACGTCCAAAGGGTGCTTGTGGATGCGACCCTAACAGGCGGAGAAACGGCACACCAGAACAGCACTAACAGGACCATAAAGCCAAGTCCCGGCTTTGCTACATCCAAGTGGCCCAAGCTCCGCCGTTGAATCTTCCAGGCAGCCTGGGCCTCTGCATGTGACTGGATGGTGGACATCTACAGCCCCCGGCCAAACTACGTACTGTATACCAGGTATACCGGTCAATGTTATGAGTTCAAACCTTTGTTTCAACTCTTTTTTTGCTCGACGTGTGCAGCATTTCCCAGCAAAACTCCCACCGATGACCAAAGGAAGGTTGGTCTTGACATGCCAAACGGGACCGATCACCACTGCACAAACCCTGCACTCGGACCACAGGCGGTGCATAGTGGGTCACCAGCACTCGGCCCGAGATGGTGCCAGGATCCTGTACAGCAAGGTCGACGCACCGCCTCTAAAGGGCCTAACAAAACATAATCAGGGAGGAGAACTGCGTATCTTACTCATTATACTAGCCGTGAGATTCATGGACTCTTGACATTCTAGAAAGCAACACTATCTTGCACGATCCTGCAGGACTGATCCACCATCTCAGCCCTGTCTTTTGAGGTGGCCGGCGGCTCTACTCCATCCTAGATGCCCTAGCTTGCTGCTCTCAATATCAGACTGAGACAATCCTCTCTTGGCCGCTTCAGCTTGTAACTTTCGGACAATGTTCTTAAAGAGTTTTGTTTTATCAAGCGTCCTGTAAGACCAAACCAATGCACAAAGACTCCAGTCAGAGAGCGAAGAAACCTTGGCCTTGGATCCGATTGCCGCTTCTACTGAGGTCAATAGTTCATTCTGGTGAAGGCCCAACTGTGCACAGGCCCAAACCACGGTGGGCATGCCCAAGCGCAAGTCTTTGCCCTTCAATCGAGGCAGCAGTTGGCTAAAGCGAACAGCGGCGAGCCTCGTAAATTCTAGCACGCTGCTGGCGGATGCAGCAGGCACAAGTCCAGAAACTTGAAGACTCACCAGGCCCCACAAGGAGTTTGCCAAATCCTGAGCAATCATCTCACCTGCCTTGCCAAGGATCTGTGGCAGAATGCCAGCTAAAGCCACGACGATGTCATCAGGCACCACATTCTTCAGCCTGGCCAATGCCCAAAGGCAGTTGGACAACTGTTGAGGATTCAGGTCAACCTTCCTTTGGATCTGCGCAACAAGAGCTGACACCATGTTCAGCACCCGAGGAGCAACCTCCTGCAAGTGTGCTGAAGCCCACAAGCTGTTGGACAACTCTTGTGGTTTCATCTCAGTAGCGATGCTAGGTATCTCTTCAACAAGTGCTGGCAAAATCTTCAGCACATCCGGCGTGGCATCCTTCAATTGTGCTGACGCCCACAAACAATTAGACATCTCTTGTGGTTTCATTGCAAAAGCCTTGTGTGGAATCTCCTCAACAAGTGCTGGCACAATGTTCAGCACATCAGGTGCAACATCCTTCAAGTGCGCTGATGCCCACAAGCAGTTTGACAAGTGTTGAGGAATCATCTCAGCTGCCTTGTCTGGAATCTCTTCAACAAGCTCTTTTACAATATTCAGCACATCAGGCACCACATCCTTCAAGTGCGCTGATGCCCACAAGCTGTTGGACAACTCTTGTGGTTTCATGCCAGAAGCCTTGCTTGGAATCTCTTCAACAAGTACCGGCACAATATCCAGCACATCAGGCGCGACATCCTTCAATTGCGCTGATGCCCACAAACTGTTGGACAACTCTTGTGGTTTCATGTCACAAGCCTTTCCTGGGATCTGAGCAATGAGTGTCGGGACCAGGCTCAGCACTTCAGGTGCAATGCCCTTCAACTGCGCAAATGCCCACAAGCAGTTCGCCAACTCCTGCGCCTTCATGCTGCGGGCCGTGGCTCGAAAAGCTTTCACCAAGGTGGGAAGCAACTGAATGATTGTGGGAGCTGCATCAATCAGCACCGCCAAAGCCCAAAAAACATTGGCAGTTGCTCGCGCATCGACTGTTTTTTTGCTTAGCACCTCCTCAACCTTTGCGTGGAGCCTCAGGATTTGGGGGCTCTCTCCACAATCATGTAGTGTGCCCTTCCGATGAAAGGTTGCCAAGCTGTGATATGCCGCTGACGCATGGATGTGGTTGAAGTAAGGAACCTCTACCGCCTCATCCAAGATGCCAAGCAACTCAGCAGCTGCCGGAGCTTCTTTGATTCTAGACGTCAAAATGCGGGCCTCACTCTCATCGTCCTTCCTGCCCGAAGAGGCAGCACGCGACTTGCCACCTCCTGCTGCCTTGAACTTCTTTCCATCAGCCCTTTTACGCGCCAAGCTGCCGAACTTCTCACGCACTCCGACGGTCGTCCGCAGCCCTTCGCTCCTGGCCTGGACCTTTGCGCTTCCACCGGTGTAGCCAAAGGCCTGCGCTGCTTGGACGCTCAGCCACCAGGCCAACAGTGCCGCCACCAAGCCACGAAGGAACGCGTGGCTCCTGCGGCCTGTCGCGGCTGCTAAAGGACGTGAGCTGGACATGGCTCCAGGAGGCGGGTTCAGCTTGTAGAACGTGTGCGTGTTGCTCGTGCAGGGCTCTGGGGTTTTGGATTGGGAAATGCAAGACCTGGACGCCTGGAGGTTTTGATTTAGTCGATGTTCTTCCAAGGTTGTCTTTTTCATTTTCTCAGCCATTTCCACTTGCACTTCATGCGGCTGTCAACTCTGGCGGGCTGTCCGAAGCTTGCTTGAGCTCTTTTTTTGCCAGGCAGGCAGAGTGCCACATGCCCTCGCAGCATGCACGGTTCCCTCCAAGTTGTATCAAGAACTCTTGGTTGTTTCATTCTCGTGGCGTTGCCCCGAACCAACCGCGCCCCACCAACGATAGCCGTTGAGCAAAGCATGAAACGGCTCGAGGCTCGGGCTGCCGCACCGGTGAAGGCGTCGATCTGCTGCGCGCTCAATGGCTCCCTAGGGGTGTGAGAAAAGGCCGGGTGTTTGGTGGAAAATCTCACACATGGGTCATCAAGGTGGGCGGGGCTCCCATATTCGCGGAGAAACAAAACAACATCGCAAACAAAGAGTGTTGGGGATTCTCAAACACCATGCTCTGGAGGCTGATATTGCAGCAAAATTCATGGACCGAAGCAACACAAGCTAGTCTCACGCACAAAGCTTGTGGTACTTGAAGGGCCTATCGGTTGATGATGGTTGATGAAAGCAATGCACAAACCTTTGCTTTTGATACTCTGCAAATGGGTCCCAGGTCCATAAATCAACAGTCCGCCCAATACATACAAAAAATCCTTTATAACAATTTTCTTTCTTGGCCATAGTTCAATAGTTTCAATAGTTACCTTTGATAGCCTTTAGTCATCATTTGACTCTCACTTGCGACATAGCAAAACCGTACCAAAATAAATACTCAGACCATCTCAAACCCATCACTATAAACCAAGCCTGGGATGTCCTAAACCAAGCCTGACATGTCCATCCCATCCAAAGACAGACCCATCCAGACCCCAGGTAATGTAGACTCTTGATTAACAGTCCTGCCAAATATATACAGGTGTTACAACTTTTACAGTTATTAAATCAAGAGTACAAGCCACCATGTCCTATATACCAAGTAATTAATGAACTCAGTAAAGTCGATACTATAAGGATCTATATTTGCCACGGACTTGTTTTTGGTGTAAATGTCTCGACTAGCCGAGCCTCACTTTGGGTCAATTCCGCAGCCTGATGCTTGTTGGACCTATGGGTTACAAACGGGTATCGGCGGTCCGTGCTTAAAGGAAGGACGGCTAAACAAGAGACACATGAAGCAAATGTATGTTGAAGTCCTGACCCAATCGCTAGTATTCAGTTGACACATCTGCCGGCCTCAATCCCAACAAGAACACCACGCGATGAGGTTCTTCATCAGGGCCTGTCGCTGTGATGTGATGGTGTCCACTAGATGGGTAGAACCATTGGTATCCGAAAAGTCCTCACAAAGCCTCTGCAATCCAACTGGCATAGTATGCAAGAAAAGCAGGTAGTTATAGCTCATTATTGTAGATCTATGTAGATCTGTAGATCCAATTAACAACACTTCATCTGACACCTCCTTGACTCCTTGACAACTGTCCGCTCTGAACGCCTGTGGCACCGGCACGCGCTCGATCCGCGACCGGCAAACAGGGGAAGGTCTCGTCCAAAAGCACCTGAGAGGCACGTGACATGGTTCCGTGGCGAATGATGTTGGTGGAACTTAAGATGCCACAACATGGCTGTGGGTGAAAACCGGGACACCCTGGTTGATCACCCAAAATGACCAGAATACGACCTGGGAGGTTCACCTAGCCTGGTTTGGGGATCCGGGTTTTGATCCTGAGGACTCTCAGAGTTTGTGCCCACAAAAGCATCCGCAAACCTGGTTGAAACAGTAGTACAGGCAAAGTTGATCCTTTTATAATCGTCTGACATCGTGAGAAGAAAGCGTCCATTGATCCATAACATCTTGAATTCATCCAACTAAGATCACCTGTAAAAGCTCCCCTTTTGAACATGTTATAGGATACCAATATAGATTTTACAAGAACATGCTTGACACACTGATTGAAACATATTGAAACAAAAACAATTTGAAGCCACTTACCACCCCACTCACCCGGCTCCGCCAGAGCTGCGCCAAAACGAAACTCACCCATCTAACAAAAATCACCTGGCAAGTCTGTTCCTTTGAAGTTCCTCACATGCCCAGGCCCCAGACTCAAAGATGTGCTTCTCGAAGTGTAGCGTCAAACGATGTGCGTTTCGCACTCAGATCCTCAGACTCATCCTCAGACTCTGATCCGAAACTCTGACTCCGACTCTGATCCAATTTCAAATCCCCAGACCCATCTCCCCAAAAAAGGATGTGCTTCCCAGGCGCCAAGGCCCCACCCAAAGGCCCCAAAGAGTGCAAGAAGTGCAAGGCCGTGGCTTCGAGGCCTTGCTGTTGGAGGAGGAAAGCACCAGGAGGCCTGGGCCAAAAAACGGGGGTCGGCACGGGGTCTGTAGACTCAGCGCCTTGCTAAGCTGAATTCCGAATGAATGACGGATGGTAGTCCGGACCTTCCCAGGAATGTCATGAAAAAATGACAAAAAACACAGCTTCATGGAGCTAAAAGACCAGTACTGGTCTGGGAAGTCGCATTCTTCTTCTTCTCCATCGCCCTCTCAAGAGTTTAGCCGTTAGCTAAAGGCGAGTACACAAACCAATGCCAGGAGCAGTTTCTCAGCGGCCAAGCTCGGTGGCTAGCCGCTTCATTTGCACACTCCATGCATCAGGTAATTGAGAAACTTCAGCCACTATACCGGTGTTCTGGGAAGTCGTATGTTTCCACGAATTGCAGTTTGTGGTAAGAACCTTTGTCAATGAGGACTTGTTCTTTGCAGGCTTTCACTAGACAGGGAAGGTGGATTGAGCGTGTTGAATCATTGCCGAAGACATCGGCAAAAGGGAAACACACATGCAAGTGCGCGGTCACAGTTAGTGTGATTGAAGCCGTCAGGTTTGGAAGCAATTACTCCCCTGCAAAGGACCACATGGAACCCCAAAACCACGTCGGGTTCGTATTCGGAAAATGGTCGAAACCACAGGTTGTCCTTCTCAGGTTCCATGGGACCGTTTGCGGGCTTCGTATCTTCGTGACCGTCTCATCACCGCCTGCAACTCCTACAATCTCCACTGACGGCCAGCTACCTACCACCGCAGTACGTATTCATGGGCCATGCCCAAATCTGCATTTGTTCCCAGCTCACTTCCGTCTCCAAGGCCGCCGGCCCAGTTCACTTCAGTTCTCCCTAGGCCTAGGCCTCTCAGTCTGCAAGGGACGCTTGAACGGCCTTATATGCAACTCGTCATAATCTCCCTCTAGACCTGCTCCCTCGCCGACTCGCCTGGGTGGAGGAGGGCCCAAGGCTTGGCCCTTGAAGTCCTTCGACGAACGATGTCGGTCGGTTCGATGGGCATTGATGCAAATCCGGGCTGGTTGGGCCTTGGGCTGTGTGGGCTGGAGGACTATAGACCAACAAACCAACAAACACAACAACTGCAGCATGGAACATAATGTTTTAAACTTCTTGGGGCTCTCAAGTCTCCTCAGATGTGCACCGATGGCACCCACAGGTGCCATATGGAACAAACATGTTGGTCTGCATGCAGCCATGCCCCCAAATCCGTGGAGCCGCTTTCCGAAATAACCTCAGCCCCACCGGCTCTCCCCGCACGTGCGGTCACGTGTGGTCACGCGCGGTCACCGCCCGCGCTCTCCTGCGCAAAGGCGAACTCCGCCAGCTCTTGGCATCGCCGCAGCACCGTGTACCTGGAGATATCGGGGGAGCTGCGGTGGAAGCACCATCACTTTTGGTGGGTTTGGCAGAAGGAGATGTCGTATCACTAGAATTTACCTAAGGAATTGTAGTTCTTGATGCCAAGAGAATCCAACATATAAATATATATATATATATGTCTAAGATCCCACACACTTCAATCGCCTGAATGCGCTTGCCCTTTAAAGAAAAGCTCAAGTGACACAGCATCCAGCCCGCGGTCTTGGACCTTTAAAACCTCAGGAAAGTTGAAAACCACCCAAACAATCCACATCCGGCCGCCCCATACTGGTGCAAAGTCCGTGTCCCAGTATGCAACCACACAGGTGTTGCAGCCTCGAAGTATACCTCCTCAGAAGGTTTTTTGAACCCTCCTGGCACCCTCTTCAAACGCCTTCTTGGAAGTACGACCGGGCCGCCAGCCAGGGATGAGTGCCTGTGTCTGGTGTCCGTTCCGTGTATGACCCTAACTACCCTTGATCTGCTTTCGTCCAGTGGCTCGGTGAGGACCGGCAAGTCTTCAAGGAACTCTGGCTGTAAAACCTGGGCGCATCACCGCGGTCCCCTACAGGCAGACAGGGCACCGCGGTGACTTTCTCTGAGATTGGTCGACTGGACTACAGTGACTACAGTTCGGAAGAACCGTACCTTTGGAAGTGGCGAATCATTTGCCGCGAGCAAGAATCAAGAATGATCGAGAGCCTAAAGCAAGCACAAAAGCAACAAAACACATGCAAGGAAACTAGAATCGGCATGCCTTTTGGCCCAATTCAGGAAATGAAACATGAATCTATAATGCATCCAGAAACCCACCAATTCTTGCTGGGTGTCCTTCGAGTATTTTCGAAAATCAGCACCACCGCGGCATCGCCTGCACAGGAAAAACGGCACATGGACCGCCCTTCTCGTGGAAAAGCACCAGGAGCTTCCAACAAAACACTGACTGCTGATCAGTAAGACACCCCACAGCAGCATAGTTTTACACATATCCATTTTGGGGCCAGTGACTTGCTTAGGTATTTTGGGGCCAGTGACTCTTGCTTAGGTATCGTTGCGATCTGCTGGGTTCAGCACCGTTACGAGAGTAAAACACACATGGAGACTACATTTAAAAAAAACGTGCTTGCGACCATCTGACCTTGAGTTGTTCTCAATGTTTTGTTCATCCCATCCTAATGTGCATCGGTTTCCCTGCACGACTGGTACCAGCCTGAGGGGTTCTCCTCCGGCGACAGTGCGGTGATCAAGGAACGGGCGACGTCCTCGGTAGCACGGGGATCTACACATGGAATAAGCAAATATATAGTGCCGTATGCGTGCGAATGGCTACAGGTTTTCTTGTGGCCCGGGCAAGCGGCGAAAGAGCATCAAGAATGGCTTCGCCGATAGGAATTAATCAGGTACAGTTCTTCCGACTGCTGACAGGGTCGAGCCCTAAAACCCCGAGTCACAACACAACCAATATAATGAGTATAGATTGGTCTAGCTTCCAGTTTGCCTCTTCCGCAAGGTCTCTGCGAGGTCTCCCTATGTTTCAACCAGACCTGTGGGGAATTTAGATGACATCAAAACCGTCTGCTGGTGCCACGTCGACACACCATCCACCGGTCCCTCTTCATGTCGGGCCAGTGGCATCCCGCGTGTTTCCGAAGTGGGCAGCGCCTCACAGGGCGGCAAGAAAAGAGAGACGGGCACCACCTCAGGGAATCCGAAGGTGTAGCATCCACACTCCTGGAGTAATTGGGCTATTCTGATTGTTATCCAGTGATTGCTGTGCATTGGTGATCAAAAGGATGAACAATCCCATACAAAACACTATAGAACCAAAGAACATCAAAGAACTATGATGAACTATGCTTTTGGTCGTGACCAGTGCTGCTGCTTGATGCTTAACGGAGGCAGGGAGTCTCTCTCCAACTCTTCAAGCTTGCATCAAATTGATGCCAGTCCTCTATTCATCAGATGCTCGAAGTATTGAAGGTCCCGCCGGTCCCGCATGTCGTGCAATTCAAAGTATACCAAAAGCAGGTCTTCAGTCTGTCGCAACATGTCGTTCAGCCACCAAAACAGGTGACACTCCCTGAAACAATCATGAACGTGAAAAGCCTTCGGCCCCATAGAAGATCATGTTATTCCTCCACACACCAGTGATTTTGCAATGTTTTGCACTTCCATGACTCAATCACACACTGTGTCACTGTGTTTTCTACATGTGCACACGCGACCGCCAGCATGTCGTCTACAACGCGCCTCGTGGCGACTTTGGCCAGGCATCTTTGGAGTCGCTGCCGCGGGCCTCGGAGCACCGCGCGCCAGACGCGGTTTGGGGAATGTGGGTCGAATCGGAACAACAGGTTGCAACATGTATTAACTGATATAACGTGATATAACTGATCGTATAACTGATACTAACAACTGATACTAACAACTGATATATCAGTTATATACTATATTGGTACTATTGGTGTTTGGATATAACTGTTTAACAAGTTACAGTGTGTTGTATAATGTTGTAGATGTGTGGGGCTTGAAGCCAAGGCTGCCTGACACCTCCTGAGGGGTTAGTATATGAATCCTTGTAAGTGCCAAGGTGCCAGGATGCAAAAAAGGATCTTTGCCTTCTGCATCGTCAATAGGTCATCGCCAGCCTAGAACCGTGTGCTGCAACGTGTCGCCCAAACATACTCGCACAAGAAGCATCAGTGTTCAGCACGGCGACCATTCTCCAAGGTTTGGGGCAAGCTAACAGCGACGACATTTGGCAGGCGTTCGCACCCCGTCCCGTAGAGGAAAACACACTCAGGGCCTTTCACCGTTCCACTTCCACCAAGAGAGGTTAAGTGACCTTATAGGACCTTACTGGGGTACCTATGATAGGCTATAGGGTCCGTCGACCTCTGTTCACATGCTTTTTGGGAGGCTCAACTTGATCAACAAATGGGCTTGAACTGAAGGGAACGGCCCAACGGCACCGTCCGAGGAGCCCCGTGGCGGGTCCCGCGCATGTGGGTGCTGCGCGGGCGCGGGCTCGCCCAACGGCGCAGGCGTCTGGAGCCTTGTGGCACAAACGACTTTCGTGGACAGTGAGCAGCCGATGACACACGTGACAAGTATTGCTATGATATGATTGATGTAACTCCACATAGTAACTCACAAAAGGGTCAATAGCAAGCCATCAAAATCACACGAACATGGACCTATAGCTACCAGAGCTGCGCAAATTGTATAAACAAAAAAACATCTAAAAAAACACGTGTCACTCATTCAGTGTAAGTTGAACTGATACTGGAACCGCTTGAACCATCTCCAGTGGCCTCCGACTGCCACCCCCAGAGCCCATTGCAGCGGCCGGTCTGGCCGCTCGTTCGGCCGCCGCGGTGCGGAGTGAACGGAACGGCACGGGGTTCGGCGGCCCGGTGGCAGCACTGGAGCGCCAAGGCAGCGGCCTAGGTGGGTGAAACCCAAACGAGCAGCGTCCGAGGTCTGCGTCAGTCCGTCTGAACGGTCTGAACGTCACATAGACCCTGCCGAAAACGACCAGGCTTTACGATTTGGGTCATGTTTTCGGGCACTGTGTTGGCAGGGTATGCGCAAGAGATTGCATGAAGAAATGTACAATACGATAGGATGTTATATCATCACTGCTTTAGAAGTGGATGCCAGGAAAGGAATCAACAAATTATGCAGCTCGATCATGTTCAATCCATCAAAGTACAAATAACATATTATAATATATTATAATTGGTGCAAGTGCACTTATCCTGCATTGAGCTGGACAAATGCGCTTCTTGCTTTGTAAATGCAGTGCTGCTGAGGTCTCAGACTACCGTCTGGTATCGTCTGGTCGTTCTGCTACAAAATGATTCAATCAACAACACAATAATAACTTGCAAACTGTCTCTATGAGGTGGCTTCTGGGAAACATGCGTGTCGAAGCTGCGCATGCGTCTTCGGAATCCACTCCACTTAAACCGGCTACGAGAAAGGAGAATCCTGCTGAAAAAAGGACACTTCGCAACACCGAACACCGGGCCACAGACTCATGCCAAATCCAAGAGCATCCTTTCACCAACCATCAGCTACCATCTGGGCTGGCATGGCTGATGAGTCCCATCTGCTTCTCATTCACCGGATCTGGTCAAGCCGAGCTGCACGAAGACCGCAGGGCCATAGGCACGGCTCCACGTGCACCGTGGCGACGCGCGGCATCAGCCCAGGAGTCACCAGCCCGTGGGAATCGGACCGAGACTTGGTCACAGTGAGACACTTCGGTGAGGTGAGCTGGGTCACAGTGTGGTGAGCTTGGGCAAACATAGATGGATCCCACGACACAAAGAACCACAACAAGAGAGGTCGTGTCCAACGACAAGTAGACGACTATAGCTACTGGCCCCTCAAACAAGTTGGGACGCATGTGGGGCCTCGGAGATCTAGCTGCTTATGATTTGCCTGAGATGGAGGATGTAGGGATCTGCTTGCTTGTCGAATCTGCTTGCTTCGATGTTTGCTTCCCTCTTCAAGCTGTGAAGACTGCTGCAAAGCTGCGTCAGGGATCTGGGATGTCTCCGCTTCCAAAGAAGAAGCGCACCCAATCTCCATTTCTTCAAACTTGACCCCTTTTAGTTCAGCTAACTACTCGATTCGATACTAGTAGTCAATTCTCCGGTGCAACCATCTCCCCAAAGAAGGACGATCCATCTGCAGCTCTTTTCACCTTGACTCCTGAACCGCCGTTTGCCCCGGTGCCACCCGGTGGCGGCGTCAACCGGCGACCTGGCGGAAGCTGAGTCTTCCAGTCTGGTCCATGCCAAGCCATCAGGTTCCATGTGGGGCTGGGCTTGGCCCGGGTGTTGATGTAAACGGTGACCACGGTTTTGATGGAAGGAATCTTGTCACCCACACTAGACTCCAGGACTCCAGGACGTGGGTCTGGAGTTGTTTGAGCTTTGGAAGGAAGTCTTGTACCACTTAAGAGGCCCAAAAAGTGTGACAAACACCAGAGTGACCCTCTTACTGAGGTGTAGCAACATGTGTTTCTTCAGGAGTTTTTGGGGAGCAGGCTCCTGCTTTCATGTCAGCCTTATGTGATCAGCCCAGTCGATTTGAAGGAGGACAGCTCTGGAGCAATTCTAGAATTTGAGACTCTTTGGATGGAATTTGGAACCATTTTGGTATTACAAACGCATCGTAACACACCAAATGGTTCCAAATGCAATACACCAAATAGTTTCATTCCAAAGAGCCAGCCATGGTTTATGACCTACGGTTTGCAGTTTACCTTTTTGTTTGCCTGGCAAGCTCCCTCCGGTCGCAAGCCGCAGCTTTTTTGGCGCCTCCGACTTCTGCGAGTGCGTCTGTAGGACCCGACTTCTGCGAGTGCGCCGCCGAACCGGTGCTGGAATAAGACCTTCAGGTCAGCGTGGATCAGGTCACCTCTGCAACTTGAGTCGTTCCAACTCGACAATCCACATGGCAATGTTCGTTTCGCCTGGATCCTAGTTCTAATCGTCCGAATTTGCTTCTAAGTAATTGGGTTTGGGATTTTAGAAAAAACATGACGTTCAGAACGTGGTTCTCCGTCACGTTCTCCGACCTGGTATGTTTACGGGCATCTCCGACCTGGTGCGATGCGAGTTTACCAAGAGTGATAAAGACTAAAACTTTAATGAAGCTGATAAAAGCAAATGACTCATAATCAAAAGGAACTCTATAATATCTCTATATATATATGTAATGGGTAAATAGGGTTCTGATCCACTTCCATTTGGCCTTTAAAAGGTGCCATGGAAGATGGGTGTGTGGCACATGTTGGCTCATGCTCGCTCTTGCGGGCCCTGCTTTACTTTCGCTGGCCCAGCAATGGATGCCACCAAAGGGGAAACAAATCCACCCGGCACACACCGGGCTGTCCCACTCTGCAGCCTTCTGACAAGGAAAACTGCCAAGTGGAACAAAAGCTCCCCATCTTACAGCAAATCTCTCCTCAGCTGGTGGATGAGTTGAACGAATTGGCACAAATAGACATCTGCGTGTATGAAACTTGTTCTGGGAGTTGTTTGAATGGTTGAGCCAAATATGACTTATAGTGTGGCACAACAAAAAGTTCTATCCCAAATAGGACAACTGCAACACGCCCAAAACCGGTTTTCACCCGGTCGCAAGGCAGGTTCTTTCATGTTCTTTCCCACTTCCGGGCGACGAACCGTGCGACTGCTCTGCTGTGCTCTGTTGGCCATCTTGGCCTCCGAAAGGGTCTCGCAACTGCTGCAGCCGGGCCTCGACACTGATCGACGTTCCTCACTCCGTGAAGATGCGACAAACCGGCACAAGATCCACGCATCTCATCCCAAGCGCAGGACGGCGCAGGTGGACTGCGTTGGTAGTTGTACTTTCCGGATATCCTGCAGGTGGAGCAGGGAAAACGACCAAGGCATCAGACTGATTTCCCATAAAGGGTGATGAAGGAAGGACACCAAAAAAGGACAAAGGTTCTAAACAAATACCCGTAACAAGCCTTTTGTGAAAGTCCAGCTAGCCTCTGACTCTAACTACTGAGGCCACCCAGCTCTTTCATGCCCAGTCACAGTCTGTTCACCCTCAGGCCCTGAAATGATACGGATAAAACCACAGCTCCTATCTGCTTCCTAGATGTTTCAACATGTTTTTCAACCACCCCACCCAGCTCATCCCAGCTCCATCAATCTTTTTTCTGGGTCGTTTTTGTACGTGTTTTCCACCAAAAAAGAAAGCTCCTGTCCACTTGCTCTTGCGCCATGCGCGTCGCCATCTCTTCACTATTCACCTCCATGGCCATGGCCTCTAACTGCTCGTGCATCATGAAGCACTCGTGAAGGGAGCCCAGCAAGAGCAGGGAAAGCAACAGAAAGGCACCTGAGTGAGTAATAGTCGCATAAAGCTTTTGCAAACATAGCAGCAAATCTGTGCCTCTTTGCCTAGCGAAAGCGGGGATTCGCTCACGGTTCGGAAACATAAACATAACTCATCACAACTCAAACATCGCAAAACCAAGCGAACGGCATCTGGAGATGTCAGTAAAACTGAAACTGCTCTCAAAAGTTTACTAAATGGGTTCTCTTCACCCGAGTGGTCTCAACACCGGGTTTCACAGTTCAGAAGCCACTGACAGAAGCTGGTAGTTCAGAACAAAAGAAACAATCCAGGCCGTCACACCTGTTGAGACTGAGAGTTACCAATCCAAGTTGTCTTGGCCTTGGGATCTACACTCACGTGTCAACAACGTCATTCTTCTGACCAACAGGGAGTTAGCCTCTTCAATCGCTATTGGAGAGCACCTCCATGCAAAATGAGGATGGTCAATCAGAGACTCTAAAAGAAAAGGACTAGTGTATTCTTGCACTCACTGCTCAAGGGCGATGCACTATTGGGTTATAGGCACATCTGGCCCAACAATATGCCCATACCCCGTATCCAAACAATCATATACAATACATTTGATTCCTAGATATGAAAACAAATGAAACCATAATCATGAACATAGATGAAATATCTTGTGCTAACTTCCGTGTCTTCCAAAGAGGGTTCTGGCTGCAACGTGCCCCCAACAGGTTGTTTAACACATCCTTTTGAAGTGATCTGCTTGGGGAGATGTTTGATCTGGCATGAGAGCCTTTATACAAGCAGGAGTCGGCAAAATGATCGAACACTACATTGGAAAACCTTAGCCTTAGCAACTCAACTAAGCAGGGAAGCTACCCCCAACATGAATGGTGTTTAGCCATGTTTGGCTACAGCCAGTTCCACGGCCTGCTACTGTTCGTTTGAGGCACTTGGAAGATGAGACTCTTTGCTACGGAACGTGTGAGCTCCCAAGGAGCCAAGGAGCCAATGAGCCAAGGGTTGAGAATTCCAAAAGGCAAAGTCACCAGAGACTGCAAGCAATTGGAAAGTTTTCTTTTAAACATATCTTGATGGCTGCAATGGAACACCCCTGCACATCGCTGGGGCGCACAGCGAGGCACACTGCCGAGAGGCCGGCCGCGACCGCTACCGAGGCACACTTGCGCTTGTCTCGTGGGGTCTGAGGCCAAAGCGAACTCCACTGTGGCCACGTCGTTTCTGCGGCCACTTTCTCTAGTCGCTCCAGTCGGCGAAAGCACTGAGTGACTTGGTGCCACAGCAGCTGGCGGTCGGTGAAGAGGAGGATCGTGACGTAGATCACTGGAAGAAGCATCAGCACCATGAAAAGGGCCAGTAAGATGGTGTAGCCTTGGGACACGCGCAAACCTTCCTGTTGGATGGCTCTTTTGCTTTGATTTCGGCCATCCCCGGGTGCTATCCAGGACTGCCAAATGATAGTGAAACCACTGACCACCAGCCGAGAAGCAGTCACCAATCCAAGCAAGAATCACAAGTCCGAGCCAGAGTCGAAGGAAGTTGCCCCTCGCCGTCGCCATGCTCCAAATTTCGTCATTCTGAGGGATGCTGGAGATGATGTCCCAAGGCAAATCTACCATCGTTTGAGTTATCTCATTGAAGCTTTCCCGATCTGAAACCTGGCCACGGATGAAAAAAAGGCCCTCTCAAATCGGTCAACCGCAGTGCGGTCAAATAAGTCAAATACCAAACATCGGCTCGACATCGGCTCGAGCCGACGGGTGGATCTCCGCCCAAAACGCCAATGGCAAAAAGGGTGGACACATGGAGGTCGAACGCATTTCAGCATTTTGGGAGTCTGGGAGTGTCTGAAACGTTTTAGAAAAAAAGAAAAGGTGCAAATTGTTATTATTATTATATTATTTTTCATATTTTTTCTTTCTTACAACACTTGCAAAATCCGACAGTTTTGCAGTGCACGTGCAAATATTAACTAGTGCTTTTGGCTTTATTTCATGTCACTCACCCTGTACGTCTCATATGGTCTTCA